CAAGGCTGGTTCCACAATTAAAAGCCAATGTAATTCACCATGTCAACATAATGAAGAAAAACTACATGATCATTCTTAATAGATACAGAAAAAACATCTGGCAAAATCCAACATCCATTCATGATTAAGAATGCTCTGGGAAGACTCAGAGGGATTGGGTAGAGAGGAAGGTGGGAGGGGGGATCGGGATGGAGAATACATGTAAATCCATGGCTGATTCATGTCAATGTATGACAAAACCCACTACAATATTGTAAAGTAATTAGCCTCCAACCAATAAAAATAAATGGAAAAAAAAAGAATGCTCAGAAAACTAGGAGTAAAGGGGAATTTCCTCAGCCTGGTTAAGACTATCTACAAAAACCTACAATTACTAAACTTAATGCTAAAAGACTGCATGCTTGTTCCCCAGTATCGGTGATGAAGCAGGTTGTGTCTGGCATCACCACTCTTTTCGCCATCATAATGGAAGGTCTAACCAGTGCAGCAAGACAAGAAATAAAAGGCATTGGAAAGGAAAACTGAAAAGACTGGAAAAAATAAAACATTTATTATAAATAATAATAATCTGCAGACATGGCTATGTAGAAAACTTTAAAGAAATCTACATAAGTAATCTGGCAAAGTGTCAGGATACAAGGTCAATATACAAAAATCAGTCGTATTTCTAGATATTAGCAATGAACATTTTGGAAATTGAAAATTTTTAAAGTACCATTTATAAAAGCACACACAGAGAAAACCAGAAAGTACTGATAACATATTTGTGAGATCTGTATGCTAAAATCTAAGAACACTGATAAAAAGAAATCAAAGACCTCTATGAATGGAGCAATATGCTGCACTCATGGACTGGAGGGCAAATATTAAGATGTCCTCTCTTCCTGTTCTTGTCAACAGGCTGATTCTAAATTGTATATGGCAAGGCAAAGGATCTAAAATTAGCAAAAGTTTTCAAAAAGAACATAGCTGCATTATTTATGCAGCGCTACTGTGATCATGCAATGTAGTATGAGTGAAAGTTCAGACATATAAACTTAACAGAACAGTTAATAGACTAATGGTGTGTCTACTGATTTTCAACAAAGGTGCAAAGAAAAATGAACCTTAATCTATATATGGTACATATGATTTTTATATGTAACATGTAAAACCCAACTCAAACGGATCACATTCACATCACCAAATGTAAAAACTGAAAACTTAAGTTTCTAAAATATTTTAAAACTTTGTCACCTTGTTAGGCAGATTTCTTAGATATGACACCAAAAGCCTAACTCATTAAAGAAATAGTTGAAAAAGTGGACTTTTGTGAAAATTAAGAACTTCTGCTCTTCAAAAAGCTCTGTGAAAAGAAAGACAAGCAAGCCTCATTCTGGGAAGAAATATTTATAAAGCACACGGGTGATAGTCTTGTAGCCAGATTATAGGAGATAATATCTGACTAGAAATATGTAAACACAATTTGGCTTATCATTTTTACCTTTTCTGATTGACAAAAATAAAACATGAGATTTTTATCCTTAGGGGTATATTTGTGACAAAACTTCCCATTTTTGGAATGGAAATTTGACAGTATGTACCAAATCATAAATATACCCATATCCTTTAATACAGTAATTTCTAGGAATGTATCCTAAAAATCTTACACACCAAGGCTGGTGTGTATGTTCACTATTCCAATACTTCCACTTGCAAAAATGAAAATAAAAATCTCTCTTGATAACAGGACTAGTTAAATAATGCATCAGCCACAAATTGAGGCTATTTGGAGGGGAAATCTGGCTTCAAGTACGCCCAGAAGAGAGCCAACAAAAGTACATACAAATATGAATGGGAATTTTCTCTGCATGATTAGATTACTTCTGGGGTATTTTTTCTTTTTTGTTCTTTCTGAAGAACATGTATTCAGAAGAAAAAAGTTAACTTTTTTTTAAAGCAATTTAGACATTCCAGAGTTAAGAGCAACATGAAATCCCTGTCTCCTTTACGGTATATAAGGATCTGATTTTGCAAGGGGAAGGGGGCAGGCTGAATAATTTCTGACTGAAAGAAAAGGCAGCTCGTAATTCTCTCTCAGTGTCATTTTTGCTACTTCTCCAGTAAGGCAGACCATGGATAGATAGCAGAGCTGACATCTGGGTCGCCCTTCATTCATTCACTCCAGGGTTGTGTTGAATAGTGGTTTTGTTTGGGCATAAATACACTTTGGACTTTCCCTTTGTTTGGTTCCCAGTGTAGCTCTTAGTAATGAAGCTCTTTTGGCATCTCACTTATGCATTTTCAAAAATACCTCCTAAATGTTGGTCAAGGCTTAACTGGTGCCCCCTAGTGGGAAAGTCCTCAAGTAACTGGCTGCTATTCACATATTTTTGTTTGCCGAATTCTTCTTTTGGAGAAAACTCAAATTTTGTAGTGTCTTCTTTTCTATAGGTACTGTGCTAAGGTGGCCTTTTCATATGTATTATTAATTTTAGGCATGCAATTCTTACATAGTAGGTCACACAGTTTAAAACTATTATGCAATAATTGTCAGGCAGACAAAACTCAATTTATTATTACACTTTAACACTTGAGAATCCCAAGATGATGTAAATTCTCTGAACTTCTGATTAAGACTAAAGACGCCTTGACCTTACATGCATAGTTGTAACATTAAGCAGAATCAGTTTCCAAGGCTTTCTGGAGAGGAGGGGTGTGTAAAAAACCTTTTTAAACCATGGTGTCTCTCACAAACACACAGCTTTAATTATAAACCATCTGAACATATAAGTACCTGAAATAGTAGTGCTCTTATATACTACAGTAAATGGACTTCATTCTTGATTGCCTAGCACTACCTTTCTTTTCTGAAGGTTGGGGCTTGGTTTTGTTCTTCTGCAAGTACATACTACTATCTCCATTTGAATTTCTATGTGGCAGAGAGAAAGATGCTGAAGCAATGTCCCCCAGGCAAGGTGATGGCTTAAATTTCACTAAAAATACTTTTATCAGTAACTGTTTAGTTTTCACAAATAATTTTCCAAGAATAAACACATTACTTGTATAAATACTGTTTAAAAAGGTAAGAACCTCAATTTTATTGTTTTCTTTAGGAATGTCTATGACCAGAATAATTCTTACACTTGAGGTTTTTAAAAAATCCTCACTTAATCTGAAAGGAAAAAGTGTGAATGCACTTTTCTATTCCAAAAGTCTAAGGGTTTCACAGAAGAAAGCTTAATATCCAATAGTTACATAAACATGTTTATATAGATACAGAGATTTAGATAATAACTATTGCCCAGCCACTAAAGATCGAGATTTAAAAGCATGAAAGTTCTATTATTTTTCAAAAAGGTTAAGACAGGGGGACAGAATATGTATGTTTGTAGGTGTCAAAAGAATGGGAGAATATAAGCAACTTGACAAGACTACGTTTACTCTGTAATTTTTATTAATAAAAAGATTAACCATGACCATGAGTGGCTGGGCTTATAGTTTGCTACATCAAAGAAATTAAAAATTGATTAAGAATATTTTTACAGTAATTTATAATAGCATTCCTTTTATAGAGGCATTTTTTAATTTTTAAGCAATTTTGTTTTTTTGTAAATATATGAAACTAACCCTTAGTGTCATGGAGGAGAATCATCATAGCTACTGCTAAATGAAAGAATTTCCAAGAGCTGTCTGACGATGTTTATCTCAACACCTACACCCAAACTTTAGGGAAAAAATCTCCCAAAAATATCTGGAAAACTGCCTGATCAGTAATCAGTGTCTGCTTGTAGCCAGGGAATAGCCCACTTCCAAGTCAAGCATGAAGAATAACACAAAATACAAATGCACCCAAGATCCCCAAGTAAATTAGGAAAAGTGCCATTATTTTAAGAATTATCAGACATATAATCAAAGTGTTTAAATACAAATTCAGATTTGTTAAGTCCAAAAGATACAGTATTTTTATTACATATAATTTCTCCTGTGTGCTAAAAATGTTAACTTACAGGACACAGTATTTGTATACGTGTAGAGGGGATTACGGTGGAGTCGTTCAATCATTTTTCATTGATGAGAACAGAACAACAAGGTGGTGGACAGATAAGCACTTGGGTCCTCTAAAATTCAAGGCGGTGTTACTACTGCTCAACCAAAACACACTACCATTCTGTTAATATGAATGCCTACTCATTTATCTTTTAAAAATAAAGTCCATCTTTTTTTCCATTAAAGCTTCTGTAACATTGACACAAAGGTTCCTTCTACCTGTTAAAATAGGGGTAGTCTTCATCTTTGGACAAGGTATCACCATTTAGGGAAATGTAATCATATACATTACTAAATTTTTGAGGCAGCTGTTGGAGTCCATTAAGCACTTTTGGAACACTGTACCTTTAAAGTTTGTCTTTAATATTAATTGCTTTGGAAAACCAAAAATAGAAGAAAGACATCTATGGCAAAGTACATTTCATTCAGATTTGACAGCAGTAAAATACATCCCCCCCCCCCAAAAATATTAGTGCAGTGTCAATTTTGTCTATGTAAATCACTTGAGGATAGTTTTGTTATGGTATGACTGAATAACCAAAAAAGTTTTAACTTGTTTAAAAAGTTTTGTCTTTGACTTAGTCTTCAGTAATGCAAAAATGAAATTAAGCACTGTAAAAAGTCTTTAAAAATGAAGTTCTACAAATTTGGTTCCCATTTACAACAGTTTTCATTAACAGATAATGAATTAAGTGTAGACACAATGTATCCATTACCCTTATAACTACAATAAAAAAAATCTCTAGTAGCATGTATATAGATCGTGATATCTTTAGGAATACCAATATATAGTCAAAATATGTTCATACAGAACCAATACCTCTCCTTCTCAATGTAAAAGAACACTTTTTAAAAATAATTAACAAAAATACCAATTAAACAATGGAACCTCATTTCATTTCACTGTGCCCAAAAGTATGACACAAAATATTGGCTTAAAGAGGTAGATTAAAAAGAAAAAGGAAACCAGATTCTCCATTCTTTGTCACTTTTATTCAGTAGTAGTATTTTTTTTTCCTTATTTTCAGTGCCAGACACGGCAAGGAGTGATTACAGCCAACTGTTATTAAAACATTTGTTCGCAACATGTACCCCCTTTACCACTGACCCCAAACTGACTCGTCTGTGTGCTTTCGTTCTTTCCTTTTTATACCACCACCAAGACTGGGTGGAGGGGCAAGGGGAAGAGAGATGAAGGGGAAGAGTCCAGGAGGCCAGAGAGGAGGAATGCTACAAGCCACAGTAAGAATGAGCTGTATTTAATTTAAAAAAGGGGAGGAGGGGTGTACCCCACAAATGATACAGTAATGAGGATACACAATTAAATCCCATTAGCATGACTGAAGGCTTTCACTGTGTTTGACGTCATCACAATGGAAGGCATAAAAAGTGGAGTAAATCAATGTTGACACAGTCCAATCTAGTCCATTAGGCAAGATGGTGCAAGAAGTCATTTAAATTAAAAGTGCCCTACCCTTACCTAAATGGCTAGCAGACATGGAGAACACCACAGGGAGGGATCCACAGAGCTTTCTCCATGTAGCTATGGAAAATGTGTTGTCGAATGGCACATTGTCAAACACTGGAAAAGGGGCGCCACAATGGACCTCTCTCTTTTTTAAGTACGAATGCTAGATTCAACTATCTCAACTAAGCAGGAAGTGGGTTCTTCTGCTAGGAAGGCCAACCCTAATTCACTTTGTCTTGAAATATATACAGATTGTTTGTAGTAGCTACAGCAATGATATTTTCCTTGGGGTGCCAGGCTGTGTGAAGTATTTTCTTGTTGAAGTCTAGGCTGTCAACACTGATTTCATCTTTCTTTCGCTTGCCACTTGCACACACTTTGCGTGGCTTCAGAACCGTGCGAGGTTTATTGTTTTCTCGTGATGCTTCCAGGGTTATGTCTCGCTTTGTGTTCCGGTCAAACATTCTGAAGAAATTATTGTAAGATCCAGTCATGACAACACTGGAAAAGGAGACAGAGCATCCAGTCAAATAAGGAACATGAGTTTTTGGTGAACATTTTGCTGGTGAAATTCTGCCTAATGCTCCAAAGCAAGAGCTACTGCAACCAGATCTGGGTTTAGGGAGAGGGCTGCTGGCACCAACCCAGAGACCAATCACTGGAATAAACTAGGAATACGGTATTAGTTAACTTGATGTCTATTCATGACTCCTTTCATGACTGCCCAGACTGTCACCAAAGTTGAAAGCATCCTCAAGTAAGGCCTATAGGTAGTAGTGAATGGTCTTAGTTGAAAACATTTACAACCCCAGTCTATGCAGTCCTCCAGACCAGCCAAACAACAACAAAACACAAACCTGTGGTATGCACTTCTAAAAAAACAATGCTTTATTCTGATTTACATTATAAGCTACTGATGTTCCCAGGACATGTCAGATTCAGACAATAGCTTCTTATGAATGCTTTTAAGAAATCTGCTTCAAAGAATATAAAACAAGTAGCATATATAATTTTTATGAATTAAATCACTTAACCTAAGTATATTGTAAGCAAGTATTTTTGACAGATATTTTTATAATTTGTGTAGTTTAGACTGGCATCTCCATGTTACCAGAATTTGTGAGGTCTTAATGGATTTTAATGGATTCTGACACCTAGTCTATAGCTATTTAAAAGGTGTTGCTAGCCAGCATTTCTATGGGATTTTTGCCAAAAATGTATAACCTGAATCTAATCACGAGGGAGTATGAGACAACACTCAAATGAAGGAAAATTCTATACAATGAATGGCCTGTGGTTCTAAAACAAGCTGAGATCATGAAAGACAAGAATGAAGAACTGTTCCCGATTAAAGGAGACAATGAGATGGGACAAAGAGCATGACTGAGGGAACGTGTGCTATTTACGGGGTCCGAGCGACTTCACTTTCACTTTTCACTTTTCTGCATTGGAGAAGGAAATGGCAACCCACTCCAGTGTTCTTGCCTGGAGAATCCCAGGGATGGGGTCGCACAGAGTCGGACACAACTGAAGTGACTTAGCAGCAGCAGTGGGTTAGACAGCAGTACTGCACCCATGTGAATTCTTCTGCCTTAGATGCCCGCACAGTCATTTTATAGGAGAGCATCTTGCCAAAAAAAGTTTTCATGTTAGGGGAATAAACAGTCTTTCCTATAATGGAAGATGTTGTTTAAACACAAGAAGAATGAGCTGGTGCAGCTGTGCACTGTATCCTACTCCAGCAGCGCCTTCTCTTTTGTTTCCCTGACGCCTCAGGGAGAGCAGTGGTGTTCAAAGGCGAAGCCTGCTTGGTCCTCCTCCAGGTTTACTGTGGTCAGCCTACTATGTGGCCTCATATAATAACCAGATAAAAATAATTTAAAAAATCAGACAACAGATAAATGATTCAAGTTCTGTTATCTTCAATAGCACCATGAAACCTGAATCATATCAGGCTTCAGTGATAAAACTGTTGTTGAATAACATACTCTAATGAATACCTTGAAGGTAGGTTTAGTAATTCCAGAATTATGTTTTCTTTTACTATTGTCTGTTCTCCTGGAACATAATGAATGGTAAATAAATACATGGAACAATATACTGGTTCCAAATCAGGAAAGGATTATGTCAATGCTGTATATTGTCATCCCGCTTATTTAACTTATATGCAGAGTACATCACGTGAAATGCCAGGCTGGATGAAACTCGAGGTGGAATCAAGACTGCCTGGAGAAATATCAATAACCTCAGATGTGCAGATGACACCACCCTAATGGCAAAAAGCGAAGAACTAAAGAGCCTCTTGATGAAAGTGAAAGAGGAGAGTGAAAAAGTTGGCTTAAAACTCAACATTCAGAAAACTAAGATCATGGCATCTGGTCCCATCACTTCATGGCAAATAGGTAAACAAGGGAAAGAGTGACAGACTTTATATTTTTGGACTCCAAAAGCACCACGATGGTGACTGTAGCCATGAAATTAAAAGAGGCTTGGGCTTGCTCCTTGGAAAAAGCTATGACCAACCTAGACAGCATATTATAAAGCAGAGACATTACTTTGCTAACAAAGGTCCGTTTAGTCAAATGCTATTGTTTTTCCAGTAGTCACGTATGGATGTGGAAGTATGGAATAGTGACACATACATGACAGTAGTCACGTATGGAGCTGGAAAGCTGAGTGCCAAAGAATTGATGCTTTGGTGTTGGAGAAGACTCTTGAGAGTCCCTTGGACAACAAAGAGATCAAATCAGTCCATCCTAAAGGAAACTAGTCCTGAATACTCATTGGAAGGACTGATGCTGAAGCTGAAGCTCTAATACTCTGGCCACCTGACACAAAGAACAGACTCACTGGAAAAGACCCTGATGCTGGGAAAGACTGAAGGCGGGAGGAGAGGATTAGATGGTTGGATGGCACCACCAACTCAATGGACATGAGTTTGAGTAAGTTCCGGGGGTTAAGTGATGGACAGGGAAGCCTGGTATGCTGCAGTCCATGGGGTCACAAAGAGTCGGACATGACTGAGTGACTGAACTGAACTGAATAAATACTGACAACCAAAACTGAAAAGATTAACATTTTGATGACACAGTAAAAGGAACTGTACTATGGCAAAGCTGTGGATTATAACAAGCCTCATCACTCATGGTAATATGGTTAAAATAATACCTAGAAATTACCTCTTCTCTGCTATGAGGTATTGGTGTAGTATCCAGAAAAACTAGTGTGTAAAACTCCAAATAAAGTATCTCCACCTAAATATTTCTAAAACCAATTTAACAGCAAAGTAACAAACACACTGAAATTTCACCATTTTAACTACTGGTATATTAAAAAGGTGATTGATCTGGTCCATTAAAGGGGAAAATTAAAATTTATATATTAACATTATATCTAGAAGTTTCTGGTGTATTTTCACATTTACTTAGTGAAACACAATGTTTAATTTTTATCTCCCAATACTGCTGTAAGATTTCAAGGAAACCGTGGGGGAAATAAGAGTTGGGAAATGTAATTTATGTCAGTCAAAAAACACATTGGCCATTAGTAAATGTGGCAATCATACTAGGAGTGAAATAGATTTCTTTCCTCTAATAGAATTCACATTTGAATAAGATGTTCAGTTCAAATTAAAATCAATTTACCTGTCAGATCCATTCCAACAACATTCAAATTTGTCAAATATGCAGTCATTTTCATACAGTGAACAAAGTTTACTTCTGAGGTATTCATGCACCTGGGGGGGAAAAAAATTATTATACACACACACAAACACACACACATGTGTGTACTTAGCTTACATCACATGATCTACTGCTCCTGAAACTGGAAAATGATTTAACAAGTCTGTATCTTTTTAAGGAATATATAAACACATGGATTGAGTGAAAGTCACTCAGTCGTGTCCAACTCTTTGTGACCCTATGGATTATAGCCACCAGGGTCCTCCGTCCATGAAATTCTTCAGATCATATACATACTTTAATCTCATTAAAACTCAATTCTCAAAACAAAAACTCAATTCTCTGAGAAATAGTAAAGGTATTGAGCTCCCCGTTCCACCAATCCACATTTTTCTTTCATACAACTGAGAAATATACCCTCCTGGGGATGGCACATCTACTCTTCATAAGTTTGACTAAAACAGTAGGCCAGAAAATATTTAAAATGGCATAGATAAGACACTGATTAAAGAATATACAGCAATATTTGAATTTTCCAACACTTGATTTTCTGTCTATTGTTGATTTAAAAACACACAATACTGTGGCTTTACTTCCTTTTTAATTACCATTTTTGGGGTATAACTAACTGAAGCCTACAGTATCATTAAGTGCATATGTTATGCACTGCATGATCCTGCCCTGATCCAGTGATAAATTATATGGTTACTTCACATATGAATCATGGAAATATTTGACACACTTGTTATTACTTACACACAGTATGTGCTCAGTCACTCAATCATGTCCAACTTTCTGTGACCCTGGGACTGTAGCCCACCAGGCTCCTCTGTCTATGGAATTCTCCAGGTAAGAATACTGGAGTGGATTGCCATTTCCTCCTCCAGGGGATCTTCCCGATCTAAGGACTGAATCTGCATTTCCTGTGGATTCTATTTTGGCAGGTGGATTCTTTACACTGAGCCACCTGGGAAGCCCGTTTCTTATATAGTATCCAAAGCTAATGAAAATGGCTGTTTTTTTAAGTTCAATTCTATATTCACTAGTTTTTCACAAAGGGATCAACTAGAAAATAAATTGAAAAAGTATTCTTAGAAATGATACATTTCTGTATTAATATTACTAAATTACAAAGCAAAGTTCCAAAGTATTTGTTGTGATCATAAGGGAAAAAAAGGAGTCTCTAGCTCACTGTTCTTATTCATTTAAATGAGAACCTTAAAATGAAGTAATGACAGAAAAGAACAAGTACTTTCTCAAAGCTTAGAATTCTCTAATCTTTATGAAACAGCCTAACATCATTTTAAGTATCTGTTTTATCTTTAAGTATAATGGAATGATTCAGACCACTCTGTGTGACATTTTAGGTGAAAATCTGTTAACACAGGATTTACAACGTTTGTGGGTTAGGACCCACAATGAGTACGTGAGGCAAATAGTAATGTTAACATTACCCTTCAATCACATAACTGGTCAGCTAGATTCTTATACAAACTCAGTGGGAGTTGACCCTGCACCTGCTACACTGAGTATGATGCGACTACTCCAATCACTAAGCCAGGTCAGCACAGGTTAAAAGAAACTGCACCCTGTCCCCGCTGTGCACATCTTCATTCGCTTCTCCGGAATAAAGGGACCCACGGGAGCAGCTTGGCTGACAAGGAGAATCCAGAACTGACTGGCATTCTATGACAGACAGGCAGCTCCCAAAGCTGTCTGCTGGGTGCTCACAAGCCCCTCTCCTTCAGCTTAAGACAACAGTTACCAGCCAGTTCACCTGACTGGGCGACACGCCAGCGTTAACCTCTCATTCAGCTAGCACTGTCCACACTCTATCTGGGAGCCTCTAGTAGGCCTGGCCATTCTCCCCACAGTTCTCCCCAGACCTCCGTAGACACCTTAATTCCATCCTCACTTCAAATGTAGATAACAGTAGAAAAAAAAGTTATTATTGAAACAAATTGGTAGCTTTAAATTTTAATTGTAAAACTACATAGAAAACACAGTCTATAAAATTAGGTATAAATTTAACATAAGGAAAAGCAGTGTATTCATGGATCTCTGAAGGAAAAAGCCCAATGGTGAACACACTTTGTACTGGGATTAACACATATAGGCTATATACTCATTGAAACAAAGAATTCCAAATACCTGGTATGTTTCCACAGGCCTGTTTTCCATATTTAAGTCCCAAATTTTGACTGACAAATAGTCTCTAGTCATCATATATCGACCACTATGGCTGAATTTTACATCAGAAATTGAAGAGATGATTTCAGAAAAAAAAGACCTGTTACTGGGATCTTCAGGTTCTTCAAACACTAAAAACAAGCACAAAAGGTTGGGACCATCTGTAATTACTCTGGCCTGGACAAAGCATTTACACAAAACATCATTCACAAACTTCCTAGCAGTGAGCTAAAAATGACAGGCTAGTAAAGAAATGGAAAACATCTCTAAGAACATCTGTAAGACTGTAACCTTCCTGATAGAGTTTCTTAGGAGAATGAGGATGACCCAATACTGAAGCTGAAGCGGCAGAAGCACATTATGTAGCACAGCGCATCCCAGAGTCACCCGGCTAATCCACCAGAACCACTCGGCTGCCACATCTGGCATGTGTCAGGTCTGTGGTCCTACATACACCTCACTGACTTTGCATGTACTGGCACCACGAGACACAGACCACCTTTGCCATTCCCATGCATACCCACAGTTTTGAGTGGTCAGGTAAAATTAGTTTGATAAGAAGTATGTTAACAGTCTTCGTAAGTTTTTAAAAAATTCAACATGGAGGTAAGAATAATGCAACCCCTGAATTTCTTAACCTTGTACTCTTCAAACTTAAAGGAGTTGAAGAAACCTTTTCTCAGGAAAAACTCTTCCTAGGAAGCCCAAAACAGGAAGGAAGGGGGTGGGGAGAAGAGAGAAGGGAGGCAGGGAAGAGAGGAAATGTTCTACTTGCAGACAGGACTGGGGAACCCAACCCAAGCTCCCAAAGAACAGCACTCTATTAAAGTACATCCACTGGTACTCAACAGACGTACCCCACAGACAGTCTTCTATGTTCTTCCAGTAGAACCTGTAAGGTCTCGGGCTGAGTCAGGCAGCTTACCAAAACGTACAGGAGGTCAAGACTCATGTGCTGTGCTTAGCCGCTCGGTCCTGTCTGACTGGGCAGCACCATGGACTGCAGCCCGCCAGGCTCCTCCACCATGGGACTCTCCAGGCAGGAATACTGAAGTGGGTGGCTATGCCCTGCTCCAGGAGATCTCCCCAACCCACTGACTGAACCCGGATCTCCTGCACTGCAGGCGGATTCTTGGCGTACTGTTTGAGTCACCAAGGAAACCTATGTAAGTGCAGTTACCATGTCTGAAGACAAACAGAAAATGTTACCGTTTGAAAACAAACTCACGTTTAGAATGCCTATCACAGAGGGCGGACGCCCTCATGTCACATAACCGGATCGTCCCTTTACTGCTGCTGTAGACAAATGTGTTACAGCTGTTGGGGTGGAATTCTGCAGCTGTGATCACCTCTGTCAGCTCCTCCATGTTGGCAGGCTTGATATCCACAATATCTGGAGAGCATTTTATTAAGGAATTTCCACTTAAAAGAAAGGTCAAATATAATTTTATATTTCTCAAATCTACAGCTCATTCACAGACGCACGTATTAATCCTATTTTAGAATGTAGAGGGTTTTTTTTCCTCAGTATGATATAAATCCCAGAAGACATAAACAAAGACTGACAGGCCATCATCCTAAATATTAAGAACTTACAATATTTCCAAACAAAACAAAAGGAAAAATCTGGAAGGCAGCACAATGGAGAAGCTGCACACAAACAATGGAGCTGATTACTTGATATTAAGAAGGTGCTTAAAAAAAAAAAAAAAACTCCAATAAGAATACATGCAAATCCAATGAAAAATTTGGAAAAGAACAAAAAGAAAAAATAAGTCTACTAAGGACGAAAGAAGCAAATGAAAACAAGAGGCCCTTTCACTAACTAGACCACTAAAGGTACAGGAAAACAGGCTCTTCTTATGCATTACAGGCAGACCTTGTTGCTTTGCTTTGCTTTACTGGGCTTCACCTATCAGTTCACTGCACTTCACCTATGATTTACTGCATTTTTTATAAATTGATGTTTTGTAGGAACTGTGCATCAAGCTAGCCTATCAAACACCATTTTCCTAACATCATCAGCTCAAACCTTTACATTATTATTACATCTGTTTCAGTGATCTGTGATCAGCTCAGCTATCTTTGATGTTACTACTATAATTGTTTTGGGCTGACATGAACTACACACATAAGGTGGTGAATTTAGTCAACTGCTGAAAGGACAACCAAGGGCTTAGAACATTACATAAACTTAGTTGATAAAGCAGTGGCAGGGTTTGAGAGGGCTGACTCCAGTTTTGAAAGAAGTTCCACTGTGGGTGAAATGCTGTCAAACAGTACTGCAGACTACAAAGAAATCATTTATGACAGGAACAGTCAAAATTGATGTGGCAAACTTCACTGTTGCCTTATTTCAAAGAAAACTGCTACAGCTACCCTAACCTTCAACAATCACACTCTCATCAGTCAGCAACCTTCAACAAGGCAAGATCCTCCAGCAGCATAAAGATTACCGCTCGCTGAAAGTGCAGGTGATGATCAGCATTTTTCAGCAATATTTTTAAACTAAAGATGCTCAACATCACTCATTATCAGAGAAATGCAAATCAAAACCACAATGAGGTACCATTACACGCCAGTCAGGATGGCTGCTATCCAAAACTCTACAAGCAATAAATGCTGGAGAGGGTGTGGAGAAAAGGGAACCCTCTTACACTGTTGGTGGGAATGCAAATTAGTACAGCCACTATGGAAAACAGTGTGGAGATTTCTTAAAAAGCTGGAAATAGAACTGCCATATGACCCAGCAATCCCACTTCTGGGCATACACACCAAGGAAACCAGATCTGAAAGAGACACGTGCACCCCAATGTTCATCGCAGCACTGTTTATAATAGCCAGGACATGGAAGCAACCTAGATGCCCATCAGCAGACGAATGGATGAGGAAGCTGTGGTACATATACACCATGGAATATTACTCAGCCATTAAAAAGAATTCATTTGAATCAGTTCTAATGAGATGGATGAAACTGGAGCCCATTATACAGAGTGAAGTAAGCCAGAAAGATAAAGACCATTACAGTATACTAACACATATATATGGAATTTAGAAAGATGGTAACGATAACCCTATATGCAAAACAGAAAAAGAGACTCAGATGTATAGAACAGACTTGTGGACTCTGGGAGAAGGCGAGGGTGGGATGTTTCAAGAGAACAGCATTGAAACATGTATATTATCTAGGGTGAAACAGATCACCAGCCCAGGTTGGGTGCATGAGACAAGTGCTCGGGCCTGGTGCACTGGGAAGACCCAGAGGGATCGGGTGGAGAGGGAGGTGGGAGGGGGGACCGGGATGGGGAATACATGTAAATCCATGGCTAATTCATTTCAATGTATGACAAAAACCACTGCAATGATGTAAAGTAATTAGCCTCCAACTAATAAAAATAAATGGAAAAAAATAAACTAAGGTATACTTTTTTTTTTTAAGACATAATGCAACTACATACTTTAACAGACTACAATATAGCGCTAACATTTATATGCACTGGGAAACCAAATAATTTGTGTGACTTAATTTTAGGGCAGTATTCACTTTATTCTTGTGGTATCCAACTGAATCTGTCATATCTCTGAGGTATGCTTGCACTGGTAGAGTGTGAACTATAGTACAGTGTTAATTTTTCAAATGATATCTATTTGGAAAGATATACATTAATAGCAGTCATGATAATGACCATTTATCAAGAACTTAAGTACTTAAAAACAAACATGTATATACATTTCTATATATGTATGTGTGTGTGTGTGTATCTCGTAATCACAGAAAATTTTTAGGAGGATAACAAACAATGAGAAGTATTTAGACCATCATGACTTGTACGAATCCTTTTCCAACCTTAATGAGATACTTTTATAATTAAAAACACTTTAAAGGTAATACTCCATATATTTGTTTCTGTTACAAGAAACAGCTATTAAAATTTTTTTTTCTATTTTCATAGGTACAAAGAGAAAAATTCGTTATAATTCCAAGAATCCAATTTTTAAATTGATACATTATGCCTTTTATCAAATAATTTCACCCAGTGTTAAATAACTTATACACAAAAAAAGTGCTATAAAATAATAAGCTACTATATAAGAATCAAAACACACCAAGGAGAGAATGAAGGTAAGTCCAGTATGAGGATAACATGCCTTCTTTACCTAACACCAAAAAAGGAAACCAAACGGATACTAAAACTCCTGTCTGTTATTTCCAGATGCCAAAGATTAATCCGCAAATCATCTGCAGATAAATACGTTTCATAATCACTATTAATAGAAATTGAGTTGATGTGATATGTATGAGCATTGGCAAATATTCTTCGTGGACTGGCCTCAACCATTAGATCCATGGGCCGAAAGACTGGCACCTGTCAACAAGACATGAAAAAGAAGCGATTACAAAACACTCACTTTCTACAAGAGGACTGTAGGCTCAGGAGACTTCATTACTCCAGGTTCTGAGGTAACATTAAACAGCATAATGCTACACAGACTTAGCTTTATAAAGCAACTGATATTGATTGCTTGAAGTGTTGACATGGGAAGAAAAATGAAAAACAAATCTGCCTCCCTTTATAGATAGCAATACTATCAAAATTTGTAGTTTTTCCTAGTTTCAATCTTTTGTTTGAAAGACTTGCAAAGCTAATAAATGTTTATGATTTGCAAAACAGAAAAAGAGACACAGATGTACAGAACAGACTTTTGGACTCTGTGGGAGAAGGCAAGGGTGGGATGTTTCAAGAGAACAGCATCGAAACATGTATATTATCTATGGTGAAACAGATCACCAGCCCAGGTTGGATGCATGAGACAAGTGCTCGGGCCTGGTGCACTGGGAAGACCCAGAGGGATCAGGTGGAGAGGGAGGTGGGAGGGGGGATCGGGATGGGGAATACATGTAAATCCATGGCTGATTCATGTCAATGTATGACAAAAACCACTACAATATTGTAAAGTAATTAGCCTCCAACTAATAAAAATAAATGAAAATAAATAAATAAATAAAGTGGCTAAAAAGGAAATCGGCCCAAAGCATCAAATTCTTGGTATTTCTCATTGCAACTAGAAGATTTAGTCCATTTTTACTTTTTTGATCTCCAAAAAAGTTAATCTTGAAACTTAACCTTCTAATAGCTGATAACCAAACCATAAGAACAAGAGAGTGTGGTGGCATAGTATAAAACAAAACAAATCAAAACACAGTCTTGTGTTGAGTCCTGGTTCAGCCCCTGGCCACAGTGAGACTCGTCTGTAGGTCGGGATCTGTTTAAAATTTGAGTCTTTAATGTTCTCTGTGGTTACAGAATCTTGGGAAGCAGCAGAGTGTAATTATTCCTGTTCATGTTCTGTTGAGGATCTAGACTATATAATAACAGTACAGAAGACTATTCAATGGAATCAGAATTTTCTTTTTAACATGTACTTACACGTAGTGTAGTGACTGTAGTAGGATCTCTATACCTTCCATCTTCCTCCTTCAAGTTATACCCTTCCGGTCTTTTGTCCCTTTCACTGATTTTCCATAACTTTATTGTTTTATCTGGGGAAAAAATAAAGAAAGTCTTAAAAAATGACAGATTAAGCTTCACAGAAGAAAAACATTTTAATATATATTTAAACATGTGATTTCATATCTGACCCAAAAGGATCCCAAGAATAAAATCCCTGACCTGACTTAATAATATTAACACAAACTCTCTACTACCAGGTGAATAAAAGCATCTGTATATATAAAACTAGCACAGAAATTAAAAACCTATGTTAATGGCACTCATTAAATACCATTTAATATTAAAGTCAGGTCACAGCCAGGTCCCTATCCTTCAAAAATTATTATAGCTAGAGGGGGCGGGGCAAACTGTGTGTGTGTGTGTGTATGTGTGTGAGTGAGTGAGTGATTATAGCTAGAGGGGGCAGGGGAAACTCTTGTGTGTGTGTCTGTCCATCCCCTGGAGGAGGGCATGGCAAGTATTCTTGCCTGCAGAATCCCATGGACAGAGCAGTGGGCGGGCTACAGTCCATGGGGGTCACAGAGTTGGACACAACTAAGGGACTAAGCACACGCTTAGTCATATGTCTATACATGCATAATGCTTAATATTAAACTTTTACACAAAAAAGCAAAGTCGGTTAAAATGGCCTAAGTGTCAGCCACTCTGTCATGTCTAGCTCTTTGCCACCCCATGGACTGTACAGCCCACCAGGCTCAGTTCTTCCTAGTTCACGGAATTCTCCGGGCAAGAACACTGGAATGGGTATCCATTCCTTTTTCCAGGCTATCTTTCCGACACAGGGATGGAACCTGGGTCTTCTGCACCGCAGGCAAATCCTCTACCATATGAGCCAGCAGGGACTATTTAGAATAAAAATGGTAAGGTTATCTATCTCCCTTGGTCCCACACTTCCTGGCAGATGCTCTCAAAAACTCCACAAACTTCTTAACAGATCTGGATGGATCTGTTTAAAATCTTTCTTTTCCTGTTATATTTGTGATTCAATTCAAGTAAGTACAAGGGCCTGAAAATAGTTTACCAATTAAAAGCATACGTCCCCAAGTCCTTCAAGACAAAATTATTCAGGATCGAGAATATATAAAATAGTGTTTTTTACAATAAGCTTTGCCTCCGAAGTCTAGAGTTAGAGAAAAGTTGCAAAGAGCACTGAGTATTTCCATATACTCTTCACCCAGTTTTTTCCTAATGTCAGCATACAAATAAATTTGTTAAAACTAAGAAATTACCATTCCACGTTACCCTATTCGCCATACTTCAGACTTTACTCTGATTTCATCAGGTTTTCCACCAACGGCTCCTTTCTGTTCCAGGATTCAAACAACACCATTTGTAGCTGTCAAGTCACCTTAGTTTCTCTGCAACAATTTCTCAGACTTTCTTATTTTTCTTCTTCCTGACAGTTCTGAGAAGCACTGGCAAAGTGTGTGGAATGTCCGTCCACTGGGCATGTCTGTTGTTCCCTCATGATCTGATTGGGATCATGGGGTATCAGAAGAGCTGAGAGTGAAGTAAATGTATGCACAGTACTGACATGACTTCCACTGGTGATCACTTGGTTAGGAAAGAAACTGCCAGGTTCCTCCACTGCACAGTTAGTGTCTCCCCCTTGGAAATGAGGCACTAAATCCATCCATGTCTGATAGGACCAGTTACAGTCCGGGCAAGCAGGAGTGTCCATCCACATGTTATTTGGAATTCTCTGTAACAAGCATCCTTTCTCCCCACTTATTTATTTACTCAACAGCATCCTTTCTCCCCACTTATTTACTTACTCAATCAGCCATCTACATCAAGATGGAATCAAGCACATTTATTTAACTCTGTGTGCCCAAGAGGCCCAGTGTAAAGAATCCACTTGACAACACAGGAGATGCAGGCTCAATCCCCAGGTCAGGAAGATCCCCTCGAGTAGGAAATGGCAACCCACTCCAGTATTCTTGCCTGGAGAATCCCATGGACAGAGGAGGCTGGTGGGCTACAGCCCATGGGGCTGCAAAGAGTCAGACACAACTGAGCATGCATGCCCATTATAAGCTTAAAACTGCACTTACAAAATGCCACATCTTAATGGCCCTTCATAAACAAATGGGTATACCAGAATATGAAAAGCAGTGTATAGAGTCCTCTGTAATGCTCCATCATATAGAGACATGGCAGGACCTCCTCCAGCCTGGCCACCCCTCTGCCCAGTGGAGAAGAGTACGCGTAGCACCACTGTGGGTGCCCCCGGCAGAGACGACATGTACACAGAGAACAACTGCCAGCTTACTGGCTTGTAGCTAACTATTTCATCTGAAGCCTATGTAACTGGGGTTTTCAGTTATACTGCAGTTAAGTTATATGTGTTTTCTATGTGCCATTTGGTTTACATATATTTATATAAATTAGGTAAAGAATGACAAATTTTAAGAGTATTTAACCTGTCCCCAAATCTATCATTTAAATGAGCCATGCCTGAATTCTACATTTTGGGAGAAATTATTATCTGAAGATTATAAGGATGAACCCCCTCCAACACCACCACACATACGTTCCCATGATTTCTTATGGCCTGCTCAAATTCGTCATCCTTATTAACGATCCAGATAAAGAAATCACAATAAACTTATCAAACATTTCAAATAAGATGTAATTAGTTTGTGGTTCCTAGTAATGTTACAGAAAAAAAAAAAAGAGAGAAAGAAAAACAAAAAAAACTGGGTAAACAGATTTTTGAAACAAATTAAACTTCAGAACAAAAATTTTAAGGTAATAAAATCTGTGACTTAGACAGTGCTAAAAACTTTTAATGGCATAAACAAAAGACCAAGAAGTACTACACAGTATCAGTGCAGTGCTTGTGAATAGGCAGGTTGGGAATTTAAAAAAAAGGAAAAAAAAAAAAAAAATTCAAATTTTTTTTGTTTTCCGTTTTTTTTAAAACTTTTTTTTTTTTTGGGCTGTGCTGCTGGGCTTGCAGGTTTGTTGTTTTCTTTTTTTAAAGATTTATTTATGGCTACACTGGGCCTTCCTTACTGTGAGCAGGCTTTCTCTACTTGTAGCAAGCGCTTGCGGGGGTGGGGGGAGAGGCCTACTCTAGTTGTGATGTGCAGGCTTCTCACTGTGCTGGTCTCTTGTGGAGCACGGGCTCTAGGGTGCTTTAGTAGTTGCAGCCTACAGGCTCTAGAGCAGAAGCTCAGTAGCTGTGGCACAAGGGCTGTTATTCCACATCATGTGGGATCTTCCTGGACCAGGGAGCGAACTCGTGTCTCCCGCACTGGCAGGCAGATTCTTTACCACTGAGCCACCAGAGAAGTCCAGCGTTTACTTTTACCAGGAATTTGGGGCCTGTAGTTGGAGGGATATGAGTAATAATCAAACTCCAAAAACCTGCACACAAGAGTATGTACATATACTCATTTTCTATGAAGAGGGTTATTAGATTCCTCAGAGAGAATTTTACAGTCAAAAAGTTAAGAACCACTGCTCTACCGTGTTTCCTGACACTGTGAATACTGATATCTAAAGTGTTTCAGAAGCTCAGAGTCCCAGTATTCCCCTCACCACAGAGGATTAAAACAGGGAAAACAAATGCTACCAAGTTTCCTTTGCAGATGTGTGGCTTTTACATACAATCCAAAAAGCTTCTTATTAATAAGCTGTTAAGACAACCTATTCACAAGTGAACTTTTATTAGTCATATATTCAAAGATCCATGGTCAACAGATTTTAGAGCTGGATATTTCTGCAACATAGAGAAACTGAAGAGAATTCTGAGAAAGGCAAAGGAGGTTAAAGAGAAAGAGAATTAAGTCACTTGAAGAAACATTAAATGAATAAAGTTATAAGAAGATGGCTATGAAATTATTTCAGTAAAAACAATCTGGGAAATACTTGCATAGTGATGATCACAAAAAGCCAATGCAAAGATGAAGATTAATTCTGATTACTCAAAGTTGGAATGTTTGCTCCTATTTTCCATCAGTCTCCCCAGTAGTTTTCTAACCTTTCTTTGAGTATAAAGACCCATTACACTATGAAGAGAGAACATGTAAATCCATGGCTAATTCATTTCAATGTATGACAAAAACCATTGCAATGATGTAAAGTAATTAGCCTCCAACTAATAAAAATAAATGGAAAAAAAAATAAATAAATCAGATAACGAAAATAAATAAATAAATCAGATTTAAAAAAAAAAAACCACTATGAAGAGAGAAAGTACAGATATTATGCTGTCAGAGAAAACTACACCAGATAATATAGAGATACTGCTCAGATTTAACGGAAGTTAACATTTTTCCATATATTTGGCCTTCTCTCTTCTCAAAGAATAAAGCTTTTCAGATGCAGCTCAAGTACTCTCATCCCTTCTCCTATTCTCAGCACTCCCAGATACTGTGGTATGTAAAATTTTCATACTTGTTACATTCTTCCACATTGGACTCTACTTTTAGCACAAAAAATAATACAGCTACCATCCCAAAAGCTGTGTTTTACTTAGCATTCATTAACAACAACAAAAAACCCCAAACATGTGCAATGCATTGTGTATTGCCCTTAAAAATAAGCTGTATTACTAATCAATGATTTTTCAAATTTACATACTCCTATTTGGGGAACACTGTTTATTCTGTCCACACAAAAACAGTACTTAGACTCACACGACCCCTGACCCAGTCCCTGGAATTTCCAGTGGTCTTTCCTCCCACTGAGCTCTTGCCGAGTTCAGTGTCTAGAAAGGCTGGGCTGATTATATGATGCCTTATTTATTTCAAATCACAGAGGAAACCTGCATGGATGACATGCAGAGATATAAATGAGAACTGAGAGATGAAATGGGGTTTGCTTTCAAATAAGACTGAAAAGGCAGGGTAAGAAGTACCAGCAAAACACAGCTGGGGATGAACTGAGAACTGCTGAACCTGGGTGTTTGGTATATGGGACTTCATTATGCTACTTCAGCTTGTATTTTAAAAATCCCCCTCTATAAAAAATAAAACAATTTAGCCTGTAAGAAGTGAACTGCCAAAATTACTACAAGCAAACACACTTCCTGAGACATTTACTTCCAAAGCAGAAACTGCCTAAATTGTGTAACACATACTGCATGCGCGCTTAGTCGCTTCAGTTGTGTCCGACTCTCTGCGACCCTATGGACCATAGTCTACCAGGCTCCTCTGTCCATGGGATTCTCCAGGCAAGAACAGTGGAGTCGGTTGCCATTTCCTTCTCTACAATAATACACATTATTTGATGTCAAAGAGCAGTACCTGAAGTGCTATTTGAAAAAACTTAGTTAACTGTACAAATCAAAACTGAACCAAGATTAGAAACCAACGTACAACGTGAGTAAACACACAGCCTCCGTTTACAGTGCTGTAAACTACAAGCTTAAATCATTATCTCTATGTATTTTTCTTTTAATAAGAAGAGAGGAAAATGCAGTTCATATTATCAGCCAGTGGTATCATTCTGTGGAATGCACTTCCAAGAATTTGACATAGTGGGTGAGAAGGCCTAAGGTGGATAAAGCCAGCACTTCATGTTTTCTACTGGGTCAACCAAAGTCACCTGAGTTTGGATTCTGCAAGTGCTGAAGAATGGTGAGTTCTAGATGCTAGTATCTGATTTTACTAATACCAAGAGGATGTGAAAGTGGAAGTCTCCCCCAACCCGTGTTCCAGCATCAAGAAGTTTTTAATTGAAATTTTTACAGACCAGCTACCCAAACACCTGGAAGTACTCAACCATGTTAATGACTCTCTCTTAGACCCAAATCTGCAGGGACAAGCCAAGTCACAGCTCAGGTAAAAATAAGAAGAACAAAAAGAAATGACCCACTTCTTAACCAGTCATAAAGGACTTTAAATTCTGATAGAGACATTATATAATTCTAACCTTCATTTAGTAACTCTTCCTACAGAAACAAGACAGTATGGCAATGAGGCAACTCCAGTTTGTGTCCTTCTTAAACAAGGACCAAGTAAGACGAGTGCTCTCCTAGGGAGTGTCCTGGAGTGGGGACCATCCTTTGACAGTGTTTTGCATTTACAGTATGAAATACTCTTTGGAGAGTCAGGCACACTTAAAAAGGAAGAGGGAAGGGAATGAACACATACTGAGCACTCACTGTGTACACCAGGAGTAACCGGTGTACTCACCTCAACCAGGTGATAACGCAAACCCACCAGCCAGAGTGTGCAGACGAGGAGACCTGAGCAGGGTCAGCAACCTGCCCAAGGCTCCTACGCCAAGAAGGAGCAGGAACAGGATCTGACCCAAAGCAAATGTAAATCTCATTCTTTTTACTAAAACAGTGTGTGTACTAAAGAACAAGGACACCTGAGGAGCTCTTTCTGAGAATTTAAAAACTGAAAGAAAATAAAAAAGGAAAGACAAAAAAAGAACAGTTCACATTCTATATGGGGAAGAAATATTTCCAGATGTCTATCTCCAGAGCCCTCTTAACAACTACTCCTCTTTGAACAGGGGAAAGGAACCCACAGGACACGTGCACACAGCAGGTTTATGAAAAGAAGCAATGTACACTCACCGTTGGTAGACAATAAAAACTGAGCAGCATTTTTCTGGGGCAACCACCTAATTTTGTTGATCTTTTCTTCTATTTCTAAACTTTTCAAGTAGTCAAACTCTGGTTCATGGCTCTGAAAGGTGCTGTAAACATTATATTCTCCTCTGCTATGAGACTGGATTTTGTTCTAAAATGGAAACAAAAATATTTGGACCGGTTGAGAAATATTTCAAATTAATCAAACATTTAACCAGTTCTAACAGACCTCGTATCATCTTATATACAATTCTATTGTTTTTTGTATTTAAAGCTTCCAAGGAATAAATACAAATGCTTGAAAGAAAAAAAGGAAAAGCTAGATAAATCCTTTACTTAATTAGGCCCAATTTATTAGGAAAAATAATATTAAAATATGGATCCTTTTGACTGCTACTTTACCATTATGTATCACATACTTAATAATACTGAGCATACATAACAAGTTTCATCCAAAAAGTAAAGACTAAGAAAAACTCATCAGAAACAGCAGAAAGAAGGATGAGGCACACCTTCTTTCTCGGCCTTTCTCATGCCTGCCTTTAGGTCATTTCACTGCTGGAAAGCTCTTGAAGAGAAGAGCCCTCATTAAGTGCAACGACACATTTGACTCCAACCTCCCCCACTCAAGACCACATTTACAGGGCTGTATTATTCACTGAAACCATATCCAACTCTACTCAGCAACAAATGCTAAACCTCCTTAAATTATCTTTCTTAATTAAGAGCCTAGCACACACCAATGATTTATTTCATTTAGTATCAGTGCGAATGAATATAATTTAAGCTATTGGATAGAGACTACTTATGAACTTCTTCAGTTAACACTAATATCTTAGCAAAAATGAAAATTGTAACCATTTCTAGAGTTTCACTTATTAATCCATCATCACACAATCAAAAACCTTTCCACCAAAAACATTAAATGTCTAGTTCAAAGAACCAATGTAAAAATAGTTTAAAAGAAAGGTAGTATTTAAAATCAACTATTTTAAGTAAATATGAATTAACAAATGAAATGTTTAAGATGAAGTGATACTAAGAATGGCCTGTTGGTCATTATTATTACTCTCCTTATAAAAAGAAAATCTTACTGAATCATTATCTCATAACCATAGGTTTTAGGTTGTTTTTTCCAGTAGCTTGATTATCTGCATTGATCATTCATGGTCACAGTTGTATTTGGATTGATTATTATTGAGTGCATTTACCAATACTGAGAATGCAGAACATATCACAGAACATAATGCACACTGGGGATATGGAAAGGGTAAAATTCAAACTGAGAATCTTGGTCTCATTATAATACTCTTACACCAAATCTAATAACCCAGCCCATTTAATAGCTATATGCCAATATCTCTTTAGAAGAAATTCCATATATCTTCCACTGAAAATTACTCAGCCTCAAAAAATGTCATATTATTCTCCAAGAAAGTTACAATAAACAGCAATTCAATTTTTAATATGAATGCTATTTTTAATGTAAGCAAAAGACTACAGTACTATGTACACTGGGTCCCAGAGATATACAGAAATTTAATAACACAGAATCTCTGCCTTCAGGTAACTTGTGTATATGAAACTTTAGTGAAAAGTAGAAACTAAAGTCCATATAATTCAGGTAGGCCTGAATTCAGACAAAAATGGAATTGCTGGGCCAGGATGGTCTTTTCACTAAATAGTTTTCAGTTAATTGGTTATTCATATATTCAATATAATAAAACAAACCCTGACCCATACTACATCCACATTAAGCCACTCATATAAACTGATTCCAGGTCAATCAGGAATATAACTGTAAACGCTTCTAGTACAACAATATCCAAGAGAGCTTTCTGCAACAATGGAAACAGTCCTTATCTGCCCTGTCCAATATGGTAGCCACCAGTCACATGTGGTTGCTGAGCACCAGAAATGTAGCCACTGTGACTAAGGAAGTGAAGTTTACATTTAACTAATTAACTTCTAAATAGCCACATGGAGCTAGTAACTACCGTACTGGAAAGCACAGATCTAAACAATGACGGGAATATATTATCTTCCTGGATCTTGAGGTAGAGAAGTATTTCTTTTACAGGAAAGAAAACGCAGTAAGTCTAGAGAAAAACATAGATAAACTGAATTATATTAATAACCTCTACTTATGAGAATATCATTCAGAAAAATAAGACGGTAAGTCACAGAATTGCAGATACTTCCAACAAGTACAACTGACAAAGGGTTAATATTCAAAAGGTGCTAAGCCTACACATCAGTGAGAAAAACAACAGACAATCCAGTAGAAAAAAGTGCAAGAAATTTTAGTAGGTACTTCACAAAAGATGATATCCAATGGCCAACAAACCCATAAAAAGTATTAATCAAGAAAGTATAAATTAAAACTATAACAAGATACCCTCATAATCTCAAAATGTTTAAATTATAAAATCGCAAAGCATTGGCAAAGACGTGGAAGAGCCAGAATTTTTATACATTGTTCATGAGAATAAAATTGGCAGAACCACTTTTTACTGTTGTTGTTCGGCTGCTTAGTCACGTCCGACTCTTTGCGACCCCATGACTGCAGCGCACCAGGCTTCCCTTATTACTATGTTGTCTTTTTTTTTTTTTTTAACTTTTTACTATGTTATCTTAACAACTTTTTATTCTTTATAGCTGAAAACTGAACCAACCAAAACATCTGCATCTGTAACAGAATGGATAGACTGTGGTACAGAAATACAGAAGACCACAATATAGCAATGAAAGTCAGCAAATTATTACAGCAACGAAAACTGAGCGAAAAGGCCAGACACATAATATTTAGTGTAGATTCCAAACAGTTCTAAAACTATAGGCCAAATTAATGTTAAAAAACTTTTGAGGAGCAAAGAGAAAGGAGTTGCTTGGAAGGGGAATGAGGAGGGTTGATGGAAGTTGGGAAGTTCTAGCTCCTGACTGAGATATCTGCTTCGTGATAATCCACTAGTGTTTTGTGCATTTTGTGCATTTTCGTGATAATCCACTAGTGTATATTTCAACACAGTTAAAAAAGAAAAAAGCATACAAATTGTGTAGCCAATTTGAAAACAGTATGGGGGTTTCTCAAAAATATAAATAAGAGGGACTTCCCTGGCATCACAGAGGTTAAGACTATGTTTCCACTGTAAGGGCCATGGGTTCAATCCCTGGTTGGGAACTAAGATCCCATATGCCACATCAAGGGAAAAAAAAAAAAAAAACTACTGGATCATCCAGCAATCTGGGTATAAATCCAAAAGAAGTGAAAAAGGAACCTCAAAAGACATCATTCAGAATAGCTAAGAGGCAGAAATAACCTAAACATCCACTGACGGAAAAATGAATAAAGAAAATGTGGTGGGTGGGTATGTGCACATGCATGTGTATACACATATAAATTATTCAGCCATAAAAAAAAAAAAAGGAACTCCTATCATAGGCTACAACATGGATGGACCTTAAGGACATTATGCTGAATAAAATAAAGCTGATCATTAATGATAAGTACTGCACAATTCCACTTATATATTGGATTGTCTAAAGCAGTCAGCCTCAGAGAAACAGGAGGCTGAACGGCGACAGGGACTGGAGGGAGGTCGATGGCGAGAAGCCGCTGGTCAGTGGGCACAGAGTCCCAGCTATGCTGGGGGTCTGCTGCACGGTCGTGTGCATGTGGTTGGCAAGACTGTGCTGTACGCATGGAAACTGCTGAAGTCCAATGTTATACTCTGCCACAGATAAACACAGCTCAGTACACAAAAACCAAATGAAAATCACAAGAACACATTCAAACAGTTACCTGTGAAGTGACAGGTGAATGGCAGCACATCATGCAAGTAAAAGCTAGTGTGCGCACTACTGCCCACCTGTGTGCATGTTTACTTAAATAAAGGGCCTGACGATGATCTCTAGTGGCAGTGTCATGAATTCAAGTATGCCCCTGAGATTCAACGAAACCAAAATAGAAAACAGCAGTAAGATCCAATGGTGTTAGAGTCAAACAAACATTTGGGACGAGAATTAGAACTTCATTTCTTACACAAAAATAAATTTCAGAAGGAAGAATCAAATGTTTAAAAAGTAAATAAAAGAAGCTAAGAGAAAGTACAATAGTGAATTTCTATATAATTCTCAAGTGAAAAGAAGCTTCTAAGTATAAAAGTGAAAGCAAAGAGCAAAGAAAGGTTGACTTTTGACAAGGTAAGAAAAAAAATATTTAAAAGTTTAAAAAAAGCATACTAGGGAGAAAAGTGCATCATAAGACAAGATTACTACCTTTCATGTGTAAAAAATGTTACTATCTTTTCAAGTCCTTAAAAATAATTAGTAAAAATATTAACACTCTCCCCCTTGAGACATGAAAAGGCCAACAGTTGGTAGCTTACCTAAAAAATGGTCAGCAAATATATAACTATTCATTGTTAGCATGCAAAATTAAAGAATAATGTTTTGCCTTTAAACAGATGAAGAATTTTAAAAATGATAACGATCACTGCTTTAATGATGAGAATATGGACAAAAATTATACACTACAGAAAGAAGTATAAATTTACACAGCTTTTCTGGGGAATAATCTGTCAATACTTATTGAAAGCCTTAAAAGATGTACTCAACAATTCCACTTTGAAGTACAACTGAATGAAAAACAATGTACGCAAAGCCGTGTTAACACAGGGGTCATGGGTGCCAAGTCTCTGCACAGTGGGAAGTCCAAGCATAACTTGTACTTGGTCCTCTAAATTGTGGATCCAACCACCCATGGAGATGTGCAGGTTACAGTTAATACAGGTGATCCCTGAACAGTGCAGGACTGCTCTCACATAAGTGTTTTTAATAGTGAATACAACTGTACTATGTATCAGGGGACGCAGAGGGTGACCATAAATTATACAGGGATTAACTCCATGTTGTTCAAAGGGTTAACTGTAATGCTTTAAAATGTTATAAAATCTAAAAAGGTTAAAGTGCTATGATTCAGACTATATAACTACCCAGAATAATTTAGTTCTAAACCATGACACAGAATAAGAGCAAGGCACAGAGCAACTTTAATTACTGGGAATATTAAGAGGTAGACTGGAACTAGGAATCTAGAGAACAGACAGCTGAACAAGAGAGGTGCTTGGACAAGTTAATGGATATGAATGA